GAATATATATATATATATATATATATATATATATATATATATATATATATATATATATAAAATCAGGAATCATTTCATGAAAATCATTTTATATATACGAATATATGTGTGAATATATACATAAAATCAGGAAATGTTGTATGGATGGATTACTAAAAAACCTTTTCATTCTTTTTATTTCTCTAAGGCATTGATGGTTTTACGTAAAAATAGTATAGTGAAGCCGGGTGGTGATGGTGGTGCACACCTTTAATCCCAGCACTTGGGAGGCAGAGGCAGGCAGATCTCAGTGAGTTTGAGGCCAGTCTGGTCTACAAAGCAAGTTCCAGGACAGCCAGGACTGTTACCCAGAGAAACCCTGTCTCAAAATACAAAACAAAACAATAACAACAAAAAGCAGTATAGTGAGACTTACACCCTTTAGGAATGTACTGAATGGGAAAAGGCAGTCCAGTTATAGAACAGTTCTTATAATTTTTGTGATATTTCAAGGAATACTTCAATACATTTTTTATCACTGAGATGGGCTAAATGACAAATGTATGTATGTTTGTATATATGTATGTATGTATGTGTGTATGTATGTGTGTGTATGTATGTGTGTATGTATGTATGTATGTTTGTGTGTATGTATGTATGTATGTTTGTATGTATGTATGTATGTATGTATGTATGTATGTATGTAGTGCAGCTTGCCCTTGCATTTGCAACCCTTTGCTTAAAAATTTTGAGCTTGGTCAAAATACTGAGGAGGGCCAGGCTCATCAGGTGATGAGGTGCTCAACAGATAATGCTCCTTCCCCATGTAACATATTCATATTCAATGGTAAGCCTCAGTTTTGATTTCTCTCAGCCTGAAGTTCATATTGATCATAATTATGTGCCTTCTAAGCCAACAAGCCAGAGGGCTAGTGTATACTCGGGACAGCTGCTTGTAATCATCTGGCTTATTTAAATTCATGTCTATGGATTCTAATAATTGCACTACTAAGAAGGATAGGCTTTACATTCACTGCAAAAGCCAAGACATTGGGTTGTTCATTCAGCCAGCAATCATCATGACTTGCACAAAGCTGTGAAAAAGGATCTGACTGTGGTGGTGGCTGAGATTCACTTTCTAAGCTACATTGCTCAAGCAGTGCATCCAAGGATAGGCATAAATGTGGCATGGAGAGGAGGCCTTCACACGATCACCTTTTGGTGCCTTACTGACTTCCTCCTTCCTGTCAGATGTATCTTTTTTTTTTTTTTTTTTTTTTTTTTTTTTTTTTGTGGCACAGCAAGAATTTATATCAGTGCCATCTTGATTTCTGCCCCATTCTTCTTTCCCATTTTCTCTATCTCAATCTGACACCAGAAAAGCTTGTAGTGCCTTAAGTATTTTCTCTCCCACAGACAGGCACCAGATTATAGCTATAATAATAGGATAGAAAGTTCTGACTGTGTTACAGCTCAGAGGAGAAAGGTCTCCCCAGCATAAGTGTTGGAGCTCTGAAGGGAAATGTTTCTTCAGTGGAAGTGCTACATCTTTGAGGGGAGAGGTTTCCCTGATGTAAGTGTTATGGCTCTGAGGGGAAAGATACCCTGGCAGCCTGGAGCCAAGGAATACCACAAAGTCACACTGCACGACAAATCTCACCCAGGAGGGTGGCTGCCTCTGCTCAGGAGAGAAGCAGCAGGGAACTGAACAGGAGACAGGCTTATACAGTTTCTTGGGGGAGGAGCTTTCCAGGATGAAGATATCCAGGGTGGGGATTGGTGAGATTTCAAGCCAAGTCCAGGGATTGGTGAGATTTTGAGCTCAGGGATTGATGGGATTTGTGCTCAGGGATTGGGGGAGGGGGGATTTGGGGCTCAGGGAGTTAGGTTTTCAAACCCAGAAGTGGGTTCTGACCTTTTAACCTATACCGACTTCCTATCTCCATGTATTATTCAAAGCTCTCTGCCACAGCTCTAGATCAACGAGCCCCTCTATAGAAAACCAAGGATTTATTTGTAGGAACTCAGACAAAAACATTTCTAACTCCAGCATTTGCACTTTGATTCCTCTCTTTTTCGGCAGGCACTTTACCACCTCTATCTGAGTTACTCTGTTACAGACAGAAAATTTCCAATTCTGCCCCCTAGTTTCCTTGACTAGGGGGTCCCGGGACAAGCATCTAATAGGAGACCACAGGAGTGCAGACTCTTTAGCAGGCCAGCTCTCCGGCTACTCACACTACTTCAGAATTCAGTGTTCTCACTTTTGGATATACTCAGGAGTATGGCGTGCCATTCTTCTGATGTAGAAGCTCAGTGTGCCAGGTAGGCTGGCTGCCCGGTCTTGCCTTCATTTTCTCCTTTAGAAAAGATTAATAAAACACACTTCTAAGAAGACTTTCTTAAGCCTATAACAGCAGACAATATCAAATGCAAGTTTAGTCTTTATCTACTCTGAGTTGGGGGTGTCTCAGTTTGCTTTCTGTTTCTGTGGTAAACGCACGACCCAAATAACTTGGGAAGGAAAGGGTCTATTTCAGTTTACAACCCTCAGGCTATCTTGTATGACTGAGGAAGTCAGAGCAGGAGCACAAGGCAGGAACCTGGAGGTAGAAAGGGAAACAGAGGCCGTGGAGGAGTGCTGCTTACTGACTTGCCCCTGTTGGCTTGCTCAGCCTGCTTTTGTAAACACCCCAGGACCTTGTGTCTAGGGATGGAACTACCCACAGTGGGCTAGGCCCTCTTAAGTCCATCATCGGTCCATAACATGCCCCTTAGACTTGTCTAAGGACAATCTGATGGAAGCATTTTCTCAATTGCAGTTCCCTCTTCCCAGATGCTTCTAGCTTGTGTCAAGCTGACAAAACTCTAACCAACACAGAGAGTGAAGCAGTTGTGTCAATGAGGACATTGGGCACACAATGGACATGTGTCACAGTTAGGCAAAGCCCCATGTTACCTAACAGGATACTAGCCAACCAGCCCAGCTTCCACTCTGGTGCATCATTGTGTTCCTAGACAATAAGCATATCCACTTCACAGAAAGCTTCTTGAAGTTCTCTACCACAAAACTATCACAGCATCCTCCTGTGGACAGCTTCATCTGAAGGAGTGAAAGGGTTGGAAATACAATTACTTTGCATTGCAAATTGTTTCCCTCCATTTTATAGTAAATCAATTGAGAACCTGATATCAAAGAAAAACTGTAATAGAATTAAACAAGGAAGTACTTACATTAGGAAGGAGACAGAACGTAAGTGCATTGCAACACAAGGCTGAAGTGATTACACACCTTGAAATTACTGTGTTAATTTGCTTTCTTTGCTGTGATAAAACACCGACTAGAACCACCTTGGGGAAGAAAGGGTTTACTTCATGTAACAGCTTGTGGTTCATCATTCAGGGAAGCCAAGCCGGAGCTCGAGGGAGGGGCTTGAACAGAAACCAAGGAGGAAAACTGCTTATTGTCTTGTTCCCGGGCTGAAGCCCTGCTACTTTTCTTGCGTAACCCAGGCCCTCCCGCCTAGGGATGATAGTACCACCCACAGTGGGCGGGGCCCTCCTACATCAACTGTCAATCAAGAAAATGTCCCACAGACATGCCCACAGGCCAAAATGAAAGAGGCACTTGTTAATTGGGTGTGAAGCTGGTAACCAATATTAGCCTTCACAGTGACCCAGGGAAAAGGAACTGGAAGACCTTAGGATACAGGATGTACCACGCCCTTGAACCACCTGCGTCTGCTGACTGGGACTTAAGCCAAACACTCAGGGTTCTACAGAGATGGGGAACTAGAGGTGCCAGCCATTTCTGAGTGTTGTATTTCAGACATGACACTCTGGTCCTTGATAAAGGTCTGTGCTATAGAAGTGCTAAGAGGCTAGGAGGAGAACACCTGAAGGAGACAGAGGGCTAATTTAACATTTAAAGATTTCTTATGCAAATTCTCTAAGAATAGGGAGGTCAGAGATGAGTAGTTAGGAAGAAATAGGAGTTTGGTCAAGTTGAAGCAAATGTGAAAGCCATGGTGATCAGTAACCTTACACATGAGATGAATTTGTGTTAACTGTACGTTGTAGTTCTGTGAAATTTATCAAAATATGAAACCAACAAAATGTGAAAATTCTTGAAAATGGAAAAACTTAAAATTCCAAGTTGATAATGTGGGGGTAAATTCTCACACATACGTCTCTATGTCTCTAAGAAGTAGAAATAGAAAAATGAAATACATTTGTACTATTTTGAAGGACAGCAACTTCAAATAATAGTTTGTTTACCAAAGTAAATGGAAGCATTTGTCCACTTAAACATAATATGTGCAAGTGCTAATCCATGAACAGACCAGAGAAATAGAAATGGACAGAAAGAGAGAGAAGGGGCAAGGAGGAAGAAAGGAAAGAAAAAAATGAAAACAAGAAAAGGAAATGTCACCCTTTTACAGTCTGGCAGACAGAACCTATACATACCATGTCCCATCTAAATACACGTGCTTTTTTTGAGGGCACACAGCTGCATTTTGGAAATACTGGCTGTCAGAATAACCGCAAAGCCTTGGTGTGGGGAGATAGAGACATGCATTTGACACGAATGTCAGGCCGGGCCCTAGCGTTTCTAAATCTAATTTTAACCAGATGCTAGGTGAGTCTTACGGTTATTAAAATCTGAGCTGCTCTTACTGAAGTGTTTCTGAGTGTCCTTGTCCTTGGACAGAAACTTGGGTCTCGAGTGGCTGCCTCTGAGATGGGAATCGGTGGCGGTTTTCTCACCCTGCTGGCTCAGGGACACAGTGCTGACCCCACTGAGAGGTGGCTGACAGTAAACTGAAATGCCGATTTCAGGGCCTCAGGGGCCAGAATTCCTACACTCCCAACCGTCGTTTAAACATGTGCGGTCAACGCCTAAGTACACATGCGCAGAGCTCCTGGAACGGGCTCTGCCCAGAGCTGGGCTGCAGAGGATGAGAAATCAGCCCCGCCAGGAAGGGTGGAGCCTCGAGAGCCAAGGGTGGGGCGGGGTGAGGGTGGGGCGGGGTGAGGGTGGTGAGGGTGGGAGAGTGGGAATGGGGCGTTTTCATTTGGAGGGGCTGACAGACAACTAAATGGATCAGGTGGAGCATTACTGGAGGGGCGGGGCCTAATAGTGGCGAATGCACTGGGGGCGGGGCTTGACGCAGATGGGTGGAGCTTTGCCATAGTTGGGCTTCAGGGCCCAGAGAGAAGTCCATGTTTGTTAGGCTCAGTTGGGTGGGAATTAATACAGAGGCTGGACTTGATGCTGGACCGGATGAATGGGGATTATCGCCAGCTCAGGTGTAGCAGGTTCTCACTGGAGGCGGAGCTTGTTGCTTTGTCTAGTGGGGCGGGGTTTGCCCCAGGCATTACAGGGGTGAGGCTTGAAGTTGGTCAGAGCTTTTGGTGGTGCTTGCCACAGGGCAGATTGTGGCCCCCAGGTGGTGGCAGGCGTTGCTGCGGGGCAGGTTTGCTGCAGGGCAGGTTTGCTGCAGGGCGGGGCTTGTAGCTATGCAGAGGGAAGCCTGCCACAGCCTCCTGGAAAGATGACCACGCCCGGCCCACGGTGCCAGCCTCCCCATGGGGCTGTGCTTCTGGTGCCCCCTCACGGAGTCAGCACCACTATCCCTCAGCCTGGTAAGTAGCCAATCTCACCCTGCTCCAGATTGCAGAGGCCTTTGTAGTGCAGCTGGGCAGAAGGGGTATCTGCAGGCAGGGCGACTGGACACTCCCTGAAGCTGTCCTGAGTACTGGCCTTTGATGGGACAGGTGGGGGCTGGCCTGTTCCAGGAGCTCCTCCAGACATGTGCATCTTGTATCTGTACCAACTGTACAGAGAAAGTCCTGGACAAGCTGCTCCCCAAGCCATTTAGTGGATATTTTATTAACCTGTGGCTTCCTTGTACTCAGTTTGTAACAGCTGGGGGCCTGTCCAGCTTTGAATTGTACATAAACAAGCACTATTTTAAATGTGTAAGTTCCCAGTAGTGCTGTATTTGGGATATATTTATGTGAAGGCCGTCATTATTTCTTTGAACTTTGAATCTAAGCAGGCCATATGCTATAACAGTATATTTATGCTAATATTTTACCGAGATTTGATAACATAGCTGTAGGGTAAAAGGCCAGCCCCCCCCCCAAAAAAAAACAGTCTCTGAAACCAGAGCCAAAGCAACACACACCTTGACCCTAAAACCTGAGTCAAAGAAACAAACTCTGATGCTAAGACCCAGAGTCAGTTCATGTGGCCTGAAACCAGAGCCAAGGAAACCCACCCTGGCCCTGACCAACTCAGCATGAAAACCAACCCATCCCTGAGAAAGAAAATAATCAATCCCTGAGCACGAAATCCAGCCAGTCTCTGAGCTTGTCCAAGCTCGGGGATTAAAATCCGACCAGTTCCCACCCTGAAAACCTTTATCCTGGAAAAGTCCAACCCTAAGAAAGCCTGTATAAGCTCCTGTTCCTGTTCAGTTTAGAGCTGCCTTTTCCCACGCTGGCAGAGGCAGCCACTCTCCTGGATTCTTCCCTCACGGTAAATTTCTTGAATGAGGTTTGGGTCATGGCCTTCTCTGGCTGGAGTGGAGCAAGCCAGAGAAGAAGAGCTGGGACACATCTGCAGGGAAACTCCTCTAGCAGAGCAGAAAAAAAAAAAGCAGAAGTGTGAAGAATGTCCCCAGAGAGGAGCAGAACTACTACGCTCCTGCTGTGAGACCATCTCCCACGGAACTGAGCTATAGGTGTCTCCTGGCTTCCGATGGCCAGAATTCCTTTCCCTCCAGAGCTGTAACACTTACAATAACAATTTAACATCTAATGTTATTCTTTACAGTGGTTCTTGGTGTAGCTAAAAATTAGTTGAAGGAATGGGAAAGTTTAGTCTGTGTGGGAAAGTTCAACTTGCCTTTGTGGCTGCTATTGATTTTATTTTATTTTTTTATTTTATTTTATTTTATTTTATTTTTTGTTTGTCGGGACAGGGTTTCTCTGTGTAGCAGTCTTAGCTGTCCTGGAACTCACTCTGTAGAACAGGCTGGCCTCGAAGTCACGGAGATCTGCGTGCCTCTGCCTCCCGAGTGCTGGGATTAAAGGCGTGCACCACTGCCGCCCAGCTGCTGTTGATTTTAAATGCTGTTAAAACTGTGTTTAGCTCATGAGAAAAATATCATTCTGCCAGCATTTGTTAAGCCATCTGTGCCAGCACCATCGTCTTCCCTTAACCACAAGGCACACTGGTGCATTTCACTTAGCACCTACAACTTCCCTGGCCACCTGAATAAGCATGCTGTAGTCCAGCAACCTCCCTGCTATTCCTCACTCACCATGATCATCTCTCTTCCTGAGTAGTTACTTTCTTCAGACACTCATGTGTATTTGCTTACAGAACTCAAGCTTTGTGTGCATGGGTGTCTTCATTTCACTGCTGTGTTCTTAGTGCCTGGAAAAGATGGTGGCCATCATTGGGATGGACGGATGTGTGTGCTTCTTATGGAGAAGAGATGGTGAAAATAACACCCCAAGAGAGTGCTACTCATCTCAATGTATTTAAAGACTTTTTATTTAGGAAGTAAGGGGCATAGAAAATAACATGTGGTTTTTCCAGAGGTGGGACAAGTGCCCACTGAGTGTTTTTGTTTTATCTCCCTCATCTAACACAGTGAGATCAGCCCATTGGTTCTCAATGTTTCGCCAAAACTCCAGGCTGCTTCATTCTACTTTTTAACTAACTTCCCAATTTTATGTTTCCATCCTTATGGTTTAAATGCCATTTATATTGAATATTTAAAGAGCTTATAAGATGAACGGAAGGAATGATGAGGGATGCTGGTTCATTTAAATCCATACTGTACATATATGGCAATGGTCTTGTCCTCCACACTGACAGATATATCACATTAGATTAAACAACACAATCATAATGAAATCCATAAAACATTTTATGCAAATGCAGAAACACAAACACTATCTCTTTTGAAAGGTTTACAAATTTAAAAAAAAATCTATTGTAAGAAATCTGAGAATTTTGTCTCTTGAATTCATTATGCATAATACAATCCCAGAGGGTGCAAATGATGTCTACTCCCACACTTCTCTCCATTTCAGAGATCACCTGTGTGAGACTGATTCTCCAAGTATCATTTAGTCTTAGAATTTTCACTCCATTGACTCAGAGACAGGAGTTAATCTTACTCTGCCACACTTCTCTTGTCATTAGTGAGCCTGCTTTCAAATATGAAAGACATTAGTTGTCATTATATTAATATCAGCTGAGAAATTCATGATGACTATTGCCTTGGTCCAGCATGATCAGCTAAAGCAATAGCAAGTATGGGCCAGGACTGGGCTCTGACATTAAAACCTCCACATTCTTAAACTCGTCCAAGAGTAAGAATATACACTTAAGGAAATGTAACATATACATATTTAAGTTATTAAGATAGACCATTATTTAATAACTGGGGCATTTCCTACACTTTGCAAATCTATTTGAAACGAAGGAGCAAACACTGCCAGTCTTTAAGGATTCAGTTGACCTGGTCTACATTTAAATACTGTTTATAATAATTCAAATGTGGCAGATTTGAGATGTGTTGATACCTAAAAAAGATCACACATATGGTCTCAATGGAGAAGTTAAAAATTCAGTAATAAACATATCTGTCATTGACTTCAAATGAGGAATCCTAAAATTCACAGCTGTACACTGCCTTTGTGGGGACACGCCATTCTACCTGCAATGGTGCTATGCTATCAATATGTAGGGTCCTTATGAGACAGATCTTACATATCCAGATGAGTTTACTGTTTCCATATTAGAGGAGTGAGAAGGAAAGAAGAAGAAAAGAGAAGTCCCTGGTCAGCCTGTCTTCTTCCTCTATCCTTTGTAGTTGGTGCATTACAAAGGTATTTATTTTGATCTGAAGGCTTACTTTTTTAACTAAAAAAAGTTTTGAGAATATGTTTTGTTCACAGTTTTTCCTCTCTCCCAACTCCTGGTTCGTTTGGTGTGGATGTTCCCCCAACTTGTTTGTTTTTGTCTTCTTGGAGGTTACTTATGTACTCTCTGGTTCCAGTGGGTGGGAAATATTGTTCTGAGAAATGAAAACCACTGCTGAGAGACCCACAAATGGTCTTTATCTCCATGCAGAAATCAAGGAGAGAAAGCTCACGGGATATTTGAGGGAAGGCTTGGATGCAAAGCGTAAGTCAGTGTGTTGTACTAAGACTTTTGCTGCTACTACTGTGGGAGCTGATTGTTTTCCTACTTCTCTTAAAGAAGACATTTTTATTTCAACCTGGAGAAATAGAAAATTTCAATGCTGAGTTCTAGAGTTCTGCAAGTGAGCTAATAATACAACCAGTAGAAATTATAAAAACCTCCCAGTATATAATGCAACTGTTTCCTGAAGTAAAAGGGAGAAGCAAAGGGAAGGAGTGAAGAGTGACTGTCAGGGGCCATGAGGGGGAACCAACAGGCAGCATTGGAACTCAAGGACCATTGCTTGGTAGCCAGCAAAACTTCATCAACTGAGCCGTGGAGAGGCAGAGCCTCCAAGGACTACATGTCCTGCGGACCTCATGCTGTTATTGAACCTAGCTCTCTGCTTACTGCCCCCACGGTCACCACGTCCCTCATTATCTATGAGTTGTATGAAAACTCACAGGATGTTTCTAGCCCCTCACTGTGCAGTGTTACTGCTATTACAATAATTGTGACTGACTTTTTCCAAACATTACTGCTAAATTGTTTCCGAACATTACTGCTGGATGATTCAACCACCATCCTTAGAAGGAATTTAGACATGTAGATTATTAGTAAATTTAGGGGCCAAGCGGTGGTGGCACATGCCTTTTATCCAAGCACTCTGAGATTAAAGAGGCAGACAGAGCTCTCTCTGTGAATTCAAGGCCAGCCTGGTCTACAGGGTGAGTTCCAGGACAGGTTCCAAAGCTAAACAGAAAAATCCTGGTCTAAAAAGAGAGAGAGAGAAGGGAGGGAAGGGAAGGGAAGGGAAGGGA